GCCTCGGCTGCTGAACCAACCTAGAGCTGGAGCCCAGCCAGAGGTCGGAGGGGTCGGAGGGGCCAGAGCCTCCAGGCACAGGCACAGCATCCACACCCTCATGCCCTTCGGAGGGGCCACCAGGGAAGGGCACAAGGCTGGGAGCAGAGACATGGGCCTGGGCCTGGATGGCGGGTGCTTCCCTCATCTGTGTGGTTTTTTTTTTTTTTTTAATGCTTAGTATGAAAAGTACATAATTTAATCAGGTCATCCGAATGACTGAGAAGGGTTTAAGAGTTAAGAGAAGAAACGACTGTCACTGGTGTGAGGGGGACAACATAGAGCCCGTGACTGGCAGGAGTTTAGGGGCCACTGCGCTGGGCTCGGAAGTGACATGAGGACGTGGCAAAGCACAAATCCAAACATAGCAGGAAGACACCAGAAACACCCAGAAAACCCACGCAACCTCTGGCTACGTCTAAATAACTGTAATGTCGCATCAAAACTTCAGTAAGATGAGGAAGCGATTCCTAGAATAAAACTAGTGAGAAATAAAATTTTAAAATTACCAAAAACAATCTGGAACAAACCCTCAGATGACTTCCAAGTTTTGGAAGACGGGGATCAGGAACTCATCACAAAGTTACAGACGCAGATAATCCCACAAACGGACACGGAATCGAAGTTTAAGAGCAGCCACAAGAAGGACAGAAAGAGAATGCAAAATTTCCAAACCATCAGAGCAGAGAAAGAAGTCAACAAAACCCGATCCAGGCCCTCAAGGGTAGAGGGGAAGAAGATGTGTTTTCTCACAAAGACAATGGGTTAAACTCCCCTATCAAAGATAACCTGAGATGGGTGTAAAGAAGCAAAGCAAAAGCCTCCGTAACACACCTGAGACAAATGACAGGGAGGCTGGAAGCAGAGCCCAACAGCAACAGTAGCGATGTTAGTACAAGAGAAACGGGGGTTAGAGCAAAAACACACTGAACAGGAAAAAAAGAGAAAAAAAAGAATCCACGCTGGCAAAAGGTGCAAGTCATCAAAACTATGTAAGAACCACCAGCCTGCACACCCAGCAGCACGGCTCCTAAGCATCACTGCGAGGTTACAGAGCAACAGAGAAAACAGGAATCTAAAGGGGTGCGTCAACAAGAAAAACCACCGAACTTGAATGTCGGAGTTAACCATCTCCCAGGATGCCGGCTTGCTTCTCATTCATTCAACGTAACACCTCAAGGTGCCTCACAAGTAGGAAATCATTTAATCTTCCTAAAAACCTTGAGGCAATCTCATCACCACCTCACACCACAGACAGAGAAACTGAGGCAGAGGTAGGTCACTTGTGAAGGCCACGCCCTGGCTAAAGGCAGAGCAGGATGTGGACAACTGGCCCCTGGGTCTGCTTGTTTACCCACCACACCAACCAGCAAACTCAGCCAAAGGAAAATCACCCCAGGACCCCTGGAAAATCTGCACTCAAGTGAACAAGAAAGAAGATCTCAATCCCCCAAGGCAGAGGTCCGCGTAGACAACACTCCCTGACCGCTCGGGAAGGAGACTAGAAAGGAGAGTGGATGGAACCCAAAAAGGCCATGTTACTCGAATACTTCAGAACAAACTTCTCGATCAAAAAGGAACTCTGATGAAATTACAGCTTCTTTAGAAATGAATGCCAGTGAAAATGTTACTCATAAAAGTGTGCAGGGAGGGCCGGGCGTGGTGGCTCAAGCCTGTAATCCCAGCACTTTGGGAGGCCAAGACAGGCAGATCACAAGGTCAGGAGATCGAGACCATCCTGGCTAACACGGTGAAACCCCGTCTCTACTAAAAAATACAAAAAACTAGCTGGGCGAGGTGGTGGGCACCTGTAGTCCCAGCTACTCGGGAGGCTGAGGCAGGAGAATGGCGTAAATCCGGGAGGCGGAGTTTGCAGTGAGCTGAGATCCGGCCACTGAACTCCAGCCTGGGCAACAGAGCGAGACTCCATCTCAAAAAAAAAAAAAAAAAGGTGCAGGGAGAAGCCAGGAGCACACAGGAAACACACAGTCAGAAATGCACTTACAAAGACTGGGCAGGCATGCGGGCTCATGCCTGGAATCCTGGCACTTTGGAAGACTGAGGCAGGAGGACTGCTTGAGCCCAGGAGTTCAGACTGGCCTAGGCAACACAGCAAGACTCCATTGCTACAAAAAATTTAAAAAGTTAACTGGGGTGGTGTGCCAACAGTGTCTGCTACTCTGGAGGCTTGGGCAGGAGCCCAGGAGGCGGAGGGTGCAGGGAGCTGTGATTGTACCACTGCACTCCAGGCTGGATGAGAGAGCCAGATCCTGTCTCAAAGAACAACAAAAGACTTTTTTTTTTTTTTTTTTGAAATGGAGTCTTGCTCTGTCGCCCAGGCTGGAGTGCAGTGGCGCAATCTCTGCACACTGCAAGCTCCACCTCCCGGGTTCCCGTCATTCTCCTGCCTCAGCCTCCCAAGCAGCTGGGACTACAGGTGTGAGCCACTGTGCCCGGCCATTTTTTTTGTATTTTTAGTAGAGACGGGATTTCATCATGTTAACCAGGATGTCTTGATCTCCTAACCTCGTGGTCTGCCTGCCTCAGCCTCCTAAAGTGCTGGCATTACAGGCGTGAGCCACTGCGCCTGGCCAACAAAAGACTTTTAACTCAAGATGTCAGAAAAAAAAAATGTTTTAAGAAAATTCAGCAAGGCTGGGCATGGGGGCTCACGCCTGTAATCCCAGCACTTTGGGAGGCCGAGGTGGGCGGATCACGAGGTCAGGAGTTCAAGACCAGCCTGGCTAACATGGTAAAACCCCATCTCTACTAAAAATATAAAAATTAGCCGGGCGTGGAACGGCGTGCCTGTAATCCCAGCTACTTGGGAGGCTGAGGCCTGTCTCAAAAGAAAAAAAAAAAGAAAAAAGAAAATTCCATAGGGCGTGGTGGCTCATGCCTGTAATTCTAGCACTTTCGGAGGCCGAGGCGGGCAGATCACCTGAGGTTGGGAGTCCAAGATCAGCCTGACCAACATGGAGAAACCCCGTCTCTACTAAAAATACAAAATTAGCCGGGCGTAGTGGTGCATGCCTGTAATCCCAGCTACTCAGGAGGCTGAGGCAGGAGAATCACTTGAACATGGGAGGCAAAGGTTGCAGTGAGCCGAGATCGTGCCATTGCACTCCAGCCTGGGCAACAAGAGCAAAATTTCATCTCAAAAAAGAAAAAAAGAAAATTCAATATTTGATCAATTAAAAAAAAAATTGGCTCTTTTGAAAGCAACAAATACATCTTGAGCACATCAAGGATCAAAAGAAAAGGTAAATATTAGTAAAAATAAGCACTGATATAAATTTAAAACTGCAAAACAGAGATTAAACTGGAGGAGGACATCACACACAGCTTTACATCAATCCGTGGAAAACCACACCAGAGGAAAGGGGAGCAGCAGCCTGCACCCCTCTGGAACACCAGCCCACCCAGCAGACCCCAAAACCGAATTTCCACAAGATCCCAGGGGGCTCCTTCCAGGGGGGAACTGCTCTAAGGACAAGTAACTAACAAAGGCCAACCAGGAAAGACCCGGGGCCTCAGCGCAGACGAGACCAACGCCACAGAGAGAAGAACAGCGTAGTTCCAGAAGAGCCGCCAAGCCACCAACAGAGGAAGCATCAGGCACTTAAACACCAGGAACCAAGCATGGCAGTGAAACCAGGGGTCATTAAAGAAGAGGGCGATTTCCTCTCTTCCTGCCCCTGTGGACCCCTTCTCTGAACTGGCTGCTCTTCTCTACTGACCCAAAAGGCAACGCCATCACATCCCACGTTGGACACACGTGTCTATTTCTGTAATGCTCACTGAACCTTTTAAACAATGCATACGTATAAACTAAAAAGTTAAGGTCCCATTACTCAGCCGGGCGCAGTGGCTCACGCCTGTAATCCCAGCACTTTGGGAGGCTGAGGCAGGCAGGTCACCTGAGGTCAGGTGTTCAAGACCAGCCTGGCCAATGTGGTGAAATTCTGTCTCTACTAAAAATACAAAAGTTAGCCAGGCGTGGTGACAGGCACCTATAGTCCCAGCTACTCAGGATGCTGAGGCAGGAGAATCACTTGAACCCAGGAGGCAGAGGCCGTAGTGAGCCAAGATGGTGCCACTGCACTCCAGCCTGGCAGACAAGAGCAAAACTCCACCTCCCAAAAAAAAGTTCTCTAGACGTGGGTATGGAATTTCACTAAATTCTTTTACTGCATGTCTGTGACCATGTAGTTTTTCTGTCTTCATCTGGTAATACAGTAAATGACACACGGATACACGAAGAGGCCTTCGATGTTCACTCCCACTTTCAACACACTGCCGGGCTTTGCCTTCTTTCACATAACATTCACAGACGCACAGAGACGTGCCCGGAGGAAAAGGCACACAACTCGGGCCATGGGGCTGAGAGGCCAGAGCCGGCCGCTGACCTGCCACGTTTTATATCTGCCATGCTTTACCCTAAGCACATGTTCCTCTGGTAATTTTAAAAAAAGAAAAACAAAGGAAGAAGTCGGGAGGAAGAAAACTGCAGCCCTTGGGTGCTGGGCATCACTTCATCCTGAGGGAAGGTTTCTGGTGTGAGCCCTCCCTCGGTGCTCCTGGCACTGCCCTATTACAGGAAGACTAATACAGGAGCGTCCTGGAGCCCCAGGGCCCCACCTACCTGCTCAGGGTCCCTGGGGAGCAATAACAGAAGCCCTGGGGGCCCCACCTACCTGCTCAAGGCTCCCTGGGGAGCACTAATACAGAAGCCCCGGGGCCCCGCCCACCTGCTCATGGTTCCAAATACAGGAGCATCCGGAAGCCCCGGGGCCCCGCCCACCTGCTCATGGTCCAAATACAGGAGCATCCGGAAGCCCCGGGGCCCCGCCCACCTGCTCATGGTTCCAAATACAGGAGCATCCGGAAGCCCCGGGGCCCCGCCCACCTGCTCATGTTCCAAATACAGGAGCATCCGGAAGCCCCAGGGCCCCGCCCACCTGCTCGTCGCTGCGGTGGTAGTCGTTGTCCTCCTCCGGCTTCTCCTCCGCGGCCTCTTTGTTTGAACTGTCGTCTGCTTTGGTTTCACCTTTTAGCACAAACAGAACATAGTGCACCATGAAATCCAAACTGTCAAGCCATTTAAAAAACTCCACTGTACTCCAAATGCCGTCAAAAATTCATTCCGTTAGGAGACTCTGGACCCCCGGAGCAGAGTAAGAGTCAAAGGAAAGCCGTCTGCAAAGCGTCTGCAGGCGTCTCCCCGGGAGGCGGAACGGGCGCATGGGTCTGTGGGTGCAGATGTGCGGAGCACAGAAGACAGGGACGGGGCAGCCGGAGCCGGTGTGGGACACACACATGCTTCGCACCCACCTGGCCAGGCCCGCCCAGAGCTGCTCAGTGCTGACCCCATCAGCCCTCCATCTGAAAGCCTTCTGCTAAAAATCCACTATTCTAACACTGCATTTAAAATGAAAACTTCCCCTGAGGTAAAACGGTTCTGACAGGACTGCTTGGTTCCCAGACACGCTTCCCAAGCACCCCTCACGGCTGAGCTTCCTGGGACCCGCAAAGCCGTGGGAGTGACAGAGCCAGGCCCCTCTTACCCCTCCAACCGTCACAGATACACAGAGGAGCCTAAACATTTCTTAAGAGCTTGTGTGGTCCATTAGGAAAATAAAATGTCCTCAAGACATGAAAATCTGTTGTGATACACTCGGATGTGAACATACCATTCCCTTTACACAGAAACCAAACCATTATTTTGCCATTTTACAGTAAACCAAGCCAAGCCAAGTCTCAGGAAGTTCACCTTCCACTACTTCTTCCACAGGCTCTCCGACCCCTGACCTCTGCCCCCAAGGTACTCTCGAGGGGCCCTCCTGCCCTCCCCTGCTGGCCTCACCCCTCCAGGACCCCCGCTTCTCCCCTCTGCCCACATTCCCACTGGTACCAGGAGTGAGGAGGAACGCCTCGAACCCTAACCTCCCCGCACCCTCAGGTTCCTTCATTTTCTCCCGAGTACGTGGGGGAGAGCCTGGCAGACAGTGCCGGCTCTTTAAGAAAAGGCCTCGTGCAGGGATTCCTGGGGCTTCTCGATGGGCACGCAGGGCACTCACCATTCCGATGGGAATCTAAGTGCTGTTTTGCAGAGCAGGTCTCCCCCTTGATGTCTCCAGGCACCTCCATGCCCAATTTGTGATAGAACTCCCTCTGCTTTCTCATTTCCGCTACGGAAAATCAACACACAGTCTTTAATCTTACACAGGCAGTGGATTATATTAAACTGTTCATAAACATCACATAAAGAAAATTACGGATTTGCATTATGAAGTTTGAAGGCTACTAATAAGAAAGCAGCAAATTAAGACTGGGATGTTTTCGGGGCTCAGCACAGCAGGAGGTGCACCCCCCGGGCACCCGCCCCACCAGCCCACATGGGACGCTGAGTCGCAGGCCGGCTCTTCCAGGCCTAGGACAGGCATGGAGCCCAGGAAGCCCAGCTGTGGGACTGTCATCCCCATCTCGGCCACCGCCTGTGAGTGTCCAATATCGCAGAACCAACCATCACCAGGGGCTTGATAAATACTGCAGCCACATGGGTGCCGCATCAAACATCATTGCTGACCTCACGGCTGAGCCAGTGAACTGCCTGGACGCCCGCAGCTCAGAGAATGAACCTGCCACTGGGCTCTCCCCACGCTTCTGCGCGGTGGCAGACCCTGCCAGCTCACAGGCACCTAAGGCCGCCATTGAGGAACCCCAAGAGAGCCCTCGAGGGCCCGACAGCCCCAGGGACCACGTGTCCCGGGTGCCTGAGTCCACAGCCTGCTGCGACGGCTGCTCACGGCTAATGGGCTCTGGCGCCACGTTGCCTGGCAGTGGGTTAAGAGCGCCCCCTGGTGTCTGTGGCCACAACCACAGGCACAAATTCAAGGGAAGAGACTGCCCGGCCACAGACAGGCAACATCCTCCTCACCCACACCTGCCATTGGGTCACTCCAGCTCGAGGCGGTCAGCATGCGGCCTCCGCTGGTTGGACCAGAAGAGGCCTGACCCTCCAGGAATGGCCAGCAAGAGCAGGCCAGAACCTTGCAGGTTCCAAGGAAAAGCAAACGGACTCTCAGCAAAGGCCCCCTAAATGTGACCTTAAGTTCACACCCAGGCAACGGAGTGGACGACGTGGGTCACTGCTCAGGAACACAGTAGCCTAGGTAGAGAGAGGAGGGGGCCCCGAGAGCCTGGGCAGAGAGAGGAGGGGGTCCCGAGAGCCTAGGAAGAGGGGACCCTGAGAGCCTGGGGAGAGGAAGGGACCCCGAGAGCCTGAATAGAGACAGGAGGGGACCCCAAGGGCCTGGGTAGAGGGGGGGGAACCCCGAGAGCCTGGGGAGAGGAAGGGACCCCGAGAGCCTGGGTAGAGACAGGAGGGGACCCCGAGAGCCAAGGGGATAGGTGTGGCCGGCCTCAGGTGGATGGAGTGCTGGAGCTTCACAAGGGAAATGCTGAAAGATTGGCCTGGACAATCTGAGAGCAGCTTGAAAGAAAATGTTTCCCTTAAATAATCACATCCCAGCAGCTGAAACGGAGGCCTGGAAGACAGGGGCTGACAGCAGGAGGCTGTGCCCATCAGTCTCCCGAAGAGCTGTAATGGGAATGATAGAAAGGTCACATGGGTCCATGCAAAGGAGAGAGCCCCATGGACACAGTGGAAAACAACTCAGCTTCAGACCCTTGGCTCTAATTCCCATTTCTTTAATTTTCACCTAGAAGAATAAAAAAGGATTAAAAATAGTAGCACTCAGTGTCAGGTGTATAGAGGTATCCAAACATTTACTGGGGCTGGGCGTGGCTCACACCTGTAATCCTGGCAGTTTGGGAGGCTGAGGCAGGTGGATCACCTGAGGTCAGGAGTTTGAGACCAGCCTGGCCAACACAGTGAAACCTCATCTCTACTAAAATACAAAAAATTAGCTGGGCATGGTGGCAGATGCCTGTAATCCCAGCTACTCAGGAGGCTGAGACAGGAGAACTGTGTGAACCTGGGAGGCGGAGGTTGCGGTGAGCTGAGATCGTGCCACTGCACTCAGCCTGGGCAACAAGAGTGAAACTCCGTCTCAAAAGTGAATGAATGAATGAATGAATGAATAAATAAGAGCTCACTGTCTCCGGACACTGCTCTTTAGCTGTGGCAGTCCAGCCTGATCTGATGAGCTCACTGTTGGCACAAGGCTAACGAATCAGACAATTGGAAGCTTACTCTGACTACAGCCGTATTTCATTTTCACTTCTGAGAGGAAATTCTGCTGTGATGAGACATTCCATTTTAAATTTTCAGTATTTTCTAAATACTGCTTTCCTGTGAGTGGGGAATATTGCTGGTGTCTAAATACTGCTTTCCTGTAAGGGCGGATATTGCTGGTGTTGAGTCGGTGACTCCACTGTCAGCTGTTTGCTCTCGGCATAGCTACAGTATCACGGATGAGAAACTCAGTGCTTTGCCATCAACAATGACAGTTCAACAACAAAACAACTCAGAGTTCACTGTGGCTTCGAAGCGCAACCCTGAAGTCCCCTTTTCTCCTTTCCTCGTTCTGACGTGCAGGCCATGCAGTGGGCGTGAAAACGTCCCGACGCAGTGATGATGAGTTCCAGCCAGGGCGCACAGAGAGCTGCTCAAAGCCACCAGCAGGCAGGCAGCACACGCCCGGCGCACACTCAACTGCACCACGGACGGGTGAAGGCAGACCACCGCTGAGCCAGCGGGGCCGGTTCCAATCAGACTACGCACCATGAAATTTCAATTCTTAAATTTTCACATCATAAAATACGATGCTTTTGATTTTTTCAGACTATTTAAAAATGTAAAGAAACATTCTTAGCTCATGGGATCCTCTTGCCTCAGCCTCCCACAGTGCTAGGGCTACAGGAATGAGACACTGTGTCCGGTCCCCACGTTTCTAAAGCAAGAGGTGACAGGCATGTTCAGGATCTGTGGACAGAGGACTGGTGAGCACGCAAGCCCCACGGCCCTCCCCAGGAACGGAGAGGAGCCTGGCACACCAAAGACTACGACACGCCCACCGAGTGAAAGAACCCAGAATGGGCAGAGACTGAGAATGGACACTTTGATAGGCCAGGCACGGTGGCTCACGCCTGCAATCCCAGCACTTTGGGAGGCCGAGGTGGGTCGATCATGAGGTCAGGAGATTGAGACCATCCTGGCTAACACGGTGAGACCCCGTCTCTACTAAAAATACAAAAAAAAAAAAAAAAAAAAATTTAGCCGAGCGTGGTGGCAGGCGCCTGTAGTCCCAGCTACTCAGGAGGCGGAGGCAGGAGGATCGCTTGAACCCGGGAGGCAGAGCTTGCAGTGAGCCGAGATTGTGGCCACTGCACCCCAGCCTGGGTGACAGAGCGAGACTCCGTCTCAAAAAAAAAAAAAAAAAAAAATCTATAAAAACAAAAAGAAACAACAAACCACTGAAACCCTAACCCCACCTGTGGTCTAGCAGGGAACTCTCTTCCAGCAAGCCTCCACCACGGCCGGGAGCGGGGACAGCGTGGAGGGCCTGCCCGGCACCCAGGTGGGAGCGGCAGGACTCGGTCGGCGTCTCCTCCAAAACAGGCACCTAGACCCTCAAGGGCTGACGCCTCGCTTCACCTCACCACTGCATCCTCGCAGCTAATGCGCATTTCAGGAAGAGGTCTGTGGTCGGAGAAATCAGGTTTATGATTGTCTGCCCCACAGATAAAACTAAACAAATTGCAAGTAGCCTCTATCAAGAAAACAGGTGCACTGCTAAGAGTTTTAAAGTTAGAATCCTCCTTCTAAAGAGCCATAAATGACTGAAAGTTTGAGAAACAACAACAAAAAGAATATTGACTCAATGGAAAATACGGTGGCCAGAGAGAGGAGCTTGTCAGGGAGACGGCTCGGGGCCACCGTGCCCTGGGGGTGTGAATCTGGAGCGCTCCGGAACCTCCTCCCTCTCGACTTCTTCAGTGTACACTGGAGTTGGCAGCATCCATGCTGGACAAGAGCGTGCTGAGGTGGGCGAGAACACACCACTTGCTCCAGGCTGGACGCACTGTGCCCTCCCTGCACAAGCTGAAGTTCTATGGGAAGGTGCCACTGTGCACGGGTCTGCTGGCCTTGAGACACCACTGTCCCCCGAGGAGGAACCCGGGCTCTTGGGCAAAGAGGCAGGGCAGCCCTGAGGAGGAACCTGAGCCCTCAGGCAAAGAGGCAGGGCAGCCCCAAGAGCCTCGTATCCTGGACAGGGACCACCCAAGACCCCGGGGCATGAAGAGGTGCCTGCTGGCTGCAGATGAGGACTGGAGCATCAGGAAGGACACGAGCACGGCGCATGCAGAACACACAGGTCAAACCGTGACTGCAGAGGCAGGGAAACCAGCTTGCTGTTTTGAACACAAATGAAGGAAATAGTTTTTTTTCAGCCCTTCCTACACAAAATGGACCAAATAGCAAAGTGTGTCTTCCTGGTTTTCTGGAAGCACTCCAACTCACACACAAAGACAAGAGATGGAATGGGGTGGCATGCAGATCTCAGTGCCACCCTCCTCAGCACGCGGACGACACCTGCCCTGAGGGACTCCCAGAAGTGGGCTTGCCAAAAACACAGCCGGGATGCGACCCAGGTCTACTGCCACAGGACAGCCCAGGACGATGGGAAGGCAGGAGGGAGCCAGAAAGAGGCCCGTGAGTCATCTGGACTGGAATAAAAACAGGCTGGGTGTGGCGGCTCACACCTGTAATCCCAGCACTTTGGGAGGCCGAGGCAGGAGGACTGCTTGAGACCAGAAGTTCAAGACCACCCTGGGCAACACAGCAAAACCCTATCCCTACAAACAATTAGCCAGGCATGGTGGTGCTTGCCTGTAGTTCCAGCTACCCGGCAGGCTGAGGCGGGAGAAGCACTTGAGCCCGGGAGGTAGAAGCTTCGGTGAGCTGTGATAGCACCGCTGCACTCTAGCCTGGGCGACAGGGACCGGGTCTCAAAAAAATAATAAAAAATAAATAAACAACAACCAAAAACCACAGCATTTATGAGCCAACTAGAAATGTCCGCGCTGAGGAACTATTTGGTTTTAAGGAATCTCCACCATTTTCCTAAATGTTATAAAGGTATGTGGTTATGAGCTTTAAGAACCCTTATATTCTCGGGATAGTACTGTACCCTTTACAGATCAAAGGCCACGGGGCGAGGCTGAGGGAGCAGTAGGTGCAGCAAAGCCTGGAAACTGCTGGCGGGGGGTGGAGGGTCACAAAACTCGAGGTTCTTGCCCCAATCCTGCCCACTGCTATGCATTTGAAACACTCCAGTGCAAACTTTTTTTTTAAGACAGAGTCTTGCTTTGTCATGCAGCCTGGAGCACAGTGGTGTGATCTCAGCTCACTGCAACCTCTGCCACCCGGGTTCAAGAGATTCTCCTGCCTCAGCCTCCTGGGTAGCTGGGATTACAGGCACCTGCCACCACGTCTGGCTCATTTTTTTTTTTTTTTTGGAATTTTAAGATTTTTAGTAGAGACAGGGTTTCACTATGTTGGTCAGGCTGGTCTCAAACTCCTGACCTGATGATCCACCTACCTCGGCCTCCCAAAGTGCTGGGATTACAAGCATAAGCCATTGCGCCCGGCCACTAATGTTTCGTAAGGTGTCAGCACTGGTGGAGGTCACAAAACTCAGGGTCCTGCCCCAATCCCACCCACTGCTACGCGTCTGAAACACTCGGTGCAAACGTTTCTTAAGGTGTCAGCATTTTACTCGAATGTATCCTTTGCCTTTTCCCAAGACGAAAAAACTTTCAGATATTAAAAGACTAATTGTTTCATCTACGTTTACTCAGAAAATCTAAATTCTTCCTGCATGAATGAACTCTGTGAGTAGGGAAAGAAGCCTCTTAACAGTGTAATTCTCTGGGCCACGCATTAAAGGTGAGATACGATTTCTATGGATCTGGCATATTCAGCTGCGTTTTGAATTCTAACCCTCTTCTGAGATACAGTGAGAACCAGCCCAAGTGAATTCTCAGCTTCTCTATCTGCCTTTGAAAGGTCTGATGAGCAGAATGCCAGGACAGCCCACCTGGCGCTGACCCGGCCCCTCCTTGGCCTCCTTCCCGGTCGCCAGCGGAGGGCCACCACCACCGTTCGAGCGTCGGGAGCCAGGGAGCTGTCAGCCGAGCGATCCCCAAGCAACCGATTTCCACTTGCAGGGTATTTGTACTACTTGGTATTTCTTTTAATTCTAAATGAAATTTGACTTTACAGTGAAGTTTTTCTAGAAACACCAGCTACCCGCTCTGCCAATGTGCTGCTCCTCTGTTGTGGGGAGGCTGGTGCTGTGGGATGGGGAGAGGCAGGTCTGGGACAGGAGGTGGGGCCCAGGAAGAAGGCAGGGTCCTGGGCGGGGCAGGAGCTGCATTGAGCGCTGGGGGTCCATGCACTAAACATGCGATCCATACTTGCTGAATGAATACAGAGAAGGGGTAGAAAGATGTCTACGGATCCTAGACAGACAAAAGAAGAGACCAGCCAAGGAGATAAAGATGGGCTGAGAGCAGGGATGAGAAGACACTGATTCGACCAAAAGGAAAGGGGCCTCCCATCCGAGAACCAAACTTCCAGGAGAGCAGCGGCTGCAGAGGCCGGGCTGGGACCTCAGAGATCAGCGAGACAGTCGGACACTCACCTTCTTGGAGGCCTGGTACCAATTTGTAAACAATATCTTGCATGGTTCTGTCATGACTGGCGAAAGAACAGAAAGGTGGAGTTAGCTAGAAATGTTAATTCTATAATTCTTGTACATTTTCCATTTAACAATATCAAAGTTCAGAATCACCAGTCGGGAACTCTGTTGGAATCTTACTTCTAGTTTACAAGTGAAAAAATGTTTGTGTCACCAAAAGCTATGTATGACTTGAATTAATGCATCATTTAATTTGGGCTCTGGCTGCTTCCAAACATTCGAAATAATGACAGATAAGGTTATTCTGGGAACCCGTGCTTCTGTCTGCCGGACACCCCAGGTTCCCTACATCTCATGCGCTCAGGAGACACTGTCCGTGCAGACACCCGAGGTTCCCCGCGTCCCAGGGGACACTGTCCCTGCGGACATCCCAGGTTCCCTGCATCCCATGCACTCAGGAGACACTGTCCCTGCGGACACCCCAGGTTCCCTGCATCCCGTGCGCTCAGGGGACACTGTCCCTGCGGACACCCCAGGTTCCCCGCGTCCCGTGCGCTCAGGGGACACTGTCCCTGCGGACACCTGAGGTTCCCCGCGTCCCGTGCGCTCAGGGGACACTGTCCCTGCGGACACCCAAGGTTCCCCGCGTCCCAGGGGACACTGTCCCTGCGGACATCCGAGGTTCCCTGCGTCCCAGGGGACACTGTCCGTGCAGACACCCGAGGTCCCCTGCGTCCCAGGGAACACTGTCCGTGCAGACACCCGAGGTCCCCTGCGTCCCAGGGGACACTGTCCCTGCGGACATCCCAGGTTCCCTGCGTCCCGTGCGCTCAGGGGACACTGTCCCTGCGGACACCCGAGGTTCCCTGCGTCCCGTGCACTCAGGGGACACTGTCCCTGCCCCTCCCACCAACTGCTTCCTGGGGTATCCTGGTCTTTGTGGGATTTCCACTGAACAGAGGCCTTTCTGGAATGTTTCCAAATAACGTAAAGAAAAGTCTGTAAGAGTTGGGTGCGGTGGCTTACACCTATAATCCTAGCACTTCGGGAGGCTGAGGTGGGCGGATGATCTAAAGTCAGGAGTTTGAAACCAGCCTGGCCAACATGGTGAAACCCCATCTCTACTAAAAATACAAAAAATAGCCAGGCATGGTGGTGCACACCTGTAGTCCCAGCTACTCAGGAAGCTGAGGCAGGAGAATCGTTTGAACCCGGGCGGCGGAGGTTGCAGTGAGTCCAGATCACACCACCGCAATCAAGCCTGGGCAACAAGAGAGAGACTCTGTCCTAAGATGAGGCCCTTCCTGTCATCTTCATGATCTAGATCGAGGTTTTGTGAAAGGATTACATAAGCATGGTATTTAAAATCTAGTTCCCACTTTGGTATGCTCTTTTTATTTTTTTAGTTTTTTTGAGACAGGGTCTCCTTCTGTCACTTAGGCTGGAGTGCAGTGGTGCGATCTTGGCTCACTGCAACCTCTGCCTCCTGGGCTCAAGCGATCCTCCCACCTCCGCCTCCTGAGCAGCTGGAACCGCAGACGCCGAGATTGAGACCAGCCTGGCCAACAAGGTGAAATCCCGTCTCTACTAAAAATGCAAAAATTGGCTGGGCGCGGTGGCTCAAGCCTGTTATCCCAGTACTTTGGGAGGCCGAGACGGGTGGATCACGAGGTCAAGAGATTGAGACCATCCTGGCTAATATGGTGAAACCCCGTCTCTACTAAAAAAAATACAAAAAACTAGCCGGGCGAGGTGGCGGGTGCCTGTAGTCCCAGCTACTCGGGAGGCTGAGGCAGGAGAATGGCGTAAATCCGGGAGGCGGAGCTTGCAGTGAGCTGAGATCCGGCCACTGCACTCCAGCCTGGGCGACAGAGCGAGACTCCATCTCAAAAAAAAAAAAAAAAGTAAAAATTAGACAGGCTTGGTGGCAGGCGCCTGTAATCCCAGCTATTCGGGAGGCTGAGGCAGGAGAATCGTTTGAACCCAGGAGGCGAAGCTTGCAGCAGGCTGAGATGGCGCCATTGTACTCCAGCGTGGTGACAGCGAAATTCCGTCTCAAAAATAAATAAATAAATAAAATTTAAAAATAATAATAATAAAAATAAAAGGGAAAAACAAACACATCGGCCTTTCCTCCTTCAAAATGTGTCTTCAGAATTATCTCTACTACCCTCTGTGGTATGAGGAGCATTTCCCTTCCTTTGGAGCAACCCCCCAAGTCTGTGTGAGAACCACATGCTCCACCTGGCTGGCCCCTTGGCCTCCTGCTCACGTCCAGGCCAGAGTTGCCTTCTCCAGAAACAGTGGCTGGCCCAGTGGTGAGTCGAGGCTCTCTGTGACCCTGGGCAGAAGAGCGTGGCACAGGGAGACAGACCCCGGCCATGTGCCAGGGGCAGCAGGGCCAGGACCACCTGTTCCGCGGCAGAAAGGTGGAAGGTGGATCCAAGGGCCAGCTCACATCAAATTTAACTTCAGCAAATTCTGCATAAAACTCATGACATTCAACCTGGGTCCTGAGGGTTCTCCAATGATTTGACTTGACTAAGTGTTTTTTCTCTTTTTTTGAGACAGAGTCTTGCTCTGTTGCCAGGCTGGTGTGCAACGGCACAGTCTCCGCTTACTGCAACCTCCACCTCCTGGGTTCAAGCGATTCTCCTGTCTCAGTCTCCCGAATAGCTGGGATTACAGGCATGCGCCACCACGCCTGGCTGATTTTGTATTTTTAGTAGAGATGGGGTTTCTCCATGTTGGTCAGGCTGGTCTCAAACTCCCGACCTCAGGTGATCCGCCCGCCTCGGTCTCCCAAAGTGCTGGGATTACAGGTGTGAGCCACTGTACCCAGTCTACTTGACTAAGTATTGATGGAAATGTATCTGCAGGCACAGTGTGGGCAGGACTGGCAGGGTGGCCTGGTAAGTGCTGGACCCAGGTTCTTCGTGTGCAGCTCCTGGGGTGCCCTTGGTCAGGAGAGGCTGCTGCCAAGGCAGGATGGGGGTACAGCACTATGGCCTGGGAAGGCCCACACTCACAGAGACGCCCGGGGGCACTCACCTGACGTACTGTGCCTGGGAAGGCCCACACTCACAGAGACGCCCGGGGGCACTCACCCCACATACTGTGGCCTCGGAACACCCACACTCACAGAGACGCCCGGGGGCACTCACCCCACATACTGTGGCCTCGGAACACCCACACTCACAGAGACGCCCGGGGGCACTCACCCCACATACTGTGGCCTCGGAACACCCACACTCACAGAGACTCCTGGGGACACTCACTCCGTACGGTGGCCTGGGAACGCCCACACTCACAGAGATGCCTGGGGGGCACTCAGCCGACGTACTGTGGCCTGGGGAGGCCCACACTCACCCGATGTACTGCAGGGGGTGGCTCTGGTGGATCACGATCCTGCAGGTGGGGCAGGTGTTGTTCTCCTCCAGGTACTTCACCAGGCAGCTCCTGCAGACTGTCATCAAAGCACAAGTGTGTTAGGAGAGTCCAGAGCCAGGGCACCCACCCCACCCATGTGCTCCACTGAACACGGGCATCTCTGAGCTCATTTTTGTGCAGATGCTCACTGCTGTCCTCCCTATGGCCCTTGGCTTCTGAAAAGGAAACATCTTGCCGTTCTGGTATCAGAAGCAACGAGAAAGTTTTAACTGTCCTGTCAACAGGCTTCCTCAAAGAGGCAGGGTTAGGATTTAAGTGGGAAGAAACACTTAGAATGGGGAGATGATGCTCAAAGGTGAGAAAGCTGTGGGTCATCAGAACATGGGCTAATATAGATAATTTTACAATACTTTGTCCTAAAAGATGACAGTATCTTCTACGTACAACTAGAAAAAATCAAATGAAAATAACCTAACATAAAATATGCTAACCAATATCTAAAAATACGATTAACGTTAAAGTCAAAATTCTATCAACTTGGCAAATATTTTATTTTCTAAAATGAGAAATACACAAGCATCACTTGTATTATAAGTGTACACTTTATTTTAAAGATCCTGTTTAAGCAAAATGCCCCTCAGCCATCAAGAGACGCACACAGCGGTCGTCTACACCAGCAGGGCCGCCAGCCATGAGGCCTCATGTTAGCACAAGAACTGAGCCTCAGCCTGACTGATGACGCCTGCCCGTCAGCTGCAGCCACACTTAGAGAAACACCCAGGTCTAGCCCCAGTTGTGAGTCCTCTAACACCAACGCACAGGCTCATCAGGTGTGAGGATGCACATCCAGTGTGAGGAGCACACTGGCAGGTTCCCCTTTGAAGGATTTAAGGAACTCCTTCGGAGATGTGGAAACCGCCAACAGTGAGCGCCCTGTCACAGCGGCCACTGGCCCTGCTGCTCAGTGGCAGGAGCGTGGCCTCTCCTGTGTTTAGCTCTCCTAAGTGAGGCCTCATCTGCTCTGAAACCACCCACAGGACCTTTAGTGTGAAATGACTTTTCTGACTTATCCTCAAGATCCTCTCTGCCCCTGGTCCTGGGTCCTGCTTTTGTCGGGGCTTGAGCTCAAAGCTCGTGGTAAAACAAAGGCCAAGGTTCTGAAGAGCACACAGCTGGGAAGGGCACGCCCTCCCTGGGTGGCCTGGGTGGGGCACGCACAGGTGTGCAGGCACTCCGTCACCGTGGTGGCGTCGATGAGGTACCCACTGCACAGGCGGCAGGTGATGTGGGCGTTGATGTCCCACAGCTTGATCTTCCTGGTCAACATCTTTGGCTTCTGCAAGACAAAACGCGATTAATTAACACCTGAAACTCCAAAGCCTTTCATCCTTGGCTTAGTTCTGACAGCGGCCCTCCAAGGAAGAGCATGCAGGCTGGGAGGAAGGTGCAGGCCCCGGGCCCCGGCGGCAGGAGCCTCCTGGGCTCACTGGGTCCCAGGCTCCCATGTGCAGGGCACGGTCAGCAATCCAGTGTCTGTGTGCACTGGGACAAGCCCACCTTTTCAAAAGCCCCGGGCTCCCCCGGCACTGGCTTCTCTCTGTGCCTGACACCCCTTCCTCTCCTCCCGCAGTGAGGACTGAGGAGGGTCCATAAAGCTTCAGAGAGGCAGGATCCCCGGACCCTCTGTCTGTGAAGGCGGAGGGAGCAGGAGGAGCCTGCGAGGGCAGAGTTGCCCGATGGGATGAGGATGGGCAGGCTCTGGGCACCTGGACCCTGTGCGGCTCACAGCGCGGCCCCTGGGCCCAGTTCAGAGTCTGGGCTGTGCGCTCTTCCCCCTTCCTCCCCATTCACTTCTGGGCCGGCGCCGCTTCCACGGGGTGTCCCTAGGCTGTGTCTCCCAGAGCCTGAGGCAGCACGGGGCAGGGGCCGCGTCGCCCCGGGGCCCCACTCTACCCTCGCAGGGCGGGCACAAGGCCAGGCCACAGTGGCTGGCGGAGGCCCTGCCTTGAGAGCTGCCGCAGCCGCTCTGCTCGCCCACCAGACCTGCGCCTTCAGGGAGCAGACCCCCGACGTCACCGCACACCGGCAGCAAGAGAGCAGGGCCGCTGCGTGGGTGGAGGCTGGCGGGGACTCAGGCTGGCCGGGGTGCACCCCACTACTGGGAGTTCGCTCCCCAGACCTTTCACCAGGAGAGAAGCAGGCACGAGTCTCCCTCAGTGAGGAGGGAAAGCCGCGACCCACACTGCTGCATGCGTGACACCACTTCCGTCATCACCGCCACCAAGAGGCCCAGCCTGGAGCTCTCTGCTGAGCCCCACGTCGCCTGCTGCAGGCGCGGGCCTGGGGGTCCCACGAAGCAGCCGAAAGCTGGGCTCATCCAGGGGTCACATGCCTGTGGGTGAGGCCTGTCCCCGACCACTATGCCACCACCTTTACGCCTGCGGTCCTCACCTGGTCACAGAGACTTCCAAAGTCAAATCCTCCCCTCCTCCTCCCTGTGGGGCTGTGAGGGTCGGGAGACCTGATGCGCACTGAGGACAAGGAGCCTGCCCAGGAAGGGGAAGGGAGACGGAGGGGAGGGGGGCGGAGCCCCGCCCTGAGCCCGAGGACCACGCTCACCCAGGAGGGGAGGGGAGCCGCGCCCTGCGCCCCTGAGAACCACACCCACCTGGGACGGGGAGCCCCACCCTGCGTACCTGAGGACTACGCCCACACAGGAGGGGAGGGGAGCCCCACCCTGAGCCCCTGAGGACCACACCCATTTGAGAGGGGGAGCCCCGCCCCACCTGGGACGGGGAGCCCCGCCCTGAGCCCTTGAGGACCACACCCACCTGGGACGGGGAGCCCCGCCCTGAGCCCCTGAGGACCACACCCATTTGGGAGGGGGAGCCCCGCCCCGCGCACTTGAGGACCACACCCACCTGGGACGGGGAGCCCCGCCCTGCGCACTTGAGGACCACACCCATTTGGGAGGGGGAGCCCCGCCCCGCGCACTTGAGGACCACACCCACCTGGGACGGGGAGCCCCGCCCCGCGCCCCTGAGGACCACACCCATTTGGGAGGGGGAGCCCCGCCCCGCGCACTTGAGGACCACACCCACCTGGGACGGGGAGCCCCGCCCCGCGCACTTGAGGACCACACCCACCTGGGACGGGGAGCCCATCCCTGAGCCCCTGAGGACCACACCCACCTGGGACGGGGAGCCCCGCCCCGCGCACTTGAGGACCACACCCACCTGGGACGGGGAGCCCCGCCCTGAGCCCCTGAGGACCACACCCACCCGGGAGGAGCGAGAGAGCCCTGCCCTGTGCCGGGGGATCTCCCAGTGCTAATCAACTGCCTCACAACTCACTGGGCAGAAGCCCCAGGCTGCGCCCCCACACAGCACTGCTCCTCCGCCACACGCCGTCCGGAGGGCACCCAAGTGAACCAGTGACGGAAGGAAACCAGCCCTCTGCACCCCGCGCTGCCATCAAGGCCTGGGCCCTCCACAGCTGGCTGGATCTTGGACTCTTACAGGAGGGGCCAGGAAAACTCGGCAGTGAACCGTGAATGCTGCACCGTGTCCTGACCCGCCTGCTACTCATGATCGCCCGCCCTCCCCACAACAGGCAACAGGGCTGGGCAAGGAGTCAGCAGCACCTCCGGCGTCGGGGACATGGGCCTCACCTCCGCTAGACGTCCGCGTGTCCGTCCCTCTGCCGGGGCATGGAGGCTTCAGGCCAGCACTCCCACGCGACGCTGCCTCCTGGCTCCGCACGCGGGCTCGCTTCTGCACCCTCCTTCCGGCCCTGGCTCTTTTTCCATTTTCTAGCACAGAAATGGCACCTGTTAGTTCACTTGCCACAACTCCGCCATTTAGACTAGAACTCGCAACCAAGCCCCACCGAGCAAAAGGCGGAATGGGGTCAATCAGAAGTACTGACCGCGAGAAAAGCTAAGGACCCACGCACGGCTCCAGCCTGTCCTCAGAGCCGGCGTTTAAGAGGCGCTGCAAGGCATGGCGACCACATGCACAAAGCGTGGTCTCGGCAAAGTCCGGCAGTTCACAGGCGCGGAAAGAGGAGGGCAGTCGGCCTGCGTGCACTTACCTGAGCACGACGCCTGGGGTCCCTGCTACATTGTGACGCCTGCGGAGAAAAAGCACAACAGGGTTACCCTTGGACTGCAGGCGGACGGCCCCCACCCCACCGCAGTACCAAGCCTTGCTCGGTTACACTGGTCTGTTTGCTTAAAATAAACGAAAGTTCTTCGGGGACCGTGAAGAACAGGCTCTACCTGGGAGGCCCAAGGCATCAGAGACAGCAGGAGTGGGCACGCGGCCCACGGGGGTGGGGGGCAGCTGGGGGCCCCATCATGCTGTTTTGGTCCCAAGAGGAAGCTCTTGGGTGGAAGCTCCCCGGAGGAGGGGTGAATTTCAGGGGTGATCTGGGGAAATGCAGGGCCTCAGAGGCAAGGCAGTGAGGGCCGGGTCCACGAGGCAGCACGAGAGCCCCGCAGTTCTGCCGCTGTGCACAGAGCGCTGTGTTCTTTTTTTTTTTTTTTTTTTTGAGACGGAGTCTCGCTCTGTCGCCCAGGCTGGAGTGCAGTGGCCGGATCTCAGCTCACTGCAAGCTCCGCCTCCCAGGTTTACGCCACTCTCCTGCCTCAGCCTCCCGAGTAGCTGGGACTACAGGCGCCCTCTACCTTGCCCGGCTAGTTTTTTGTATTTTTTAGTAGAGACGGGGTTTCACCGTGTTCGCCAGGATGGTCTTGATCTCCTGACCTCGTGATCCGCCCGTCTCGGCCTCCCAAAGTGCTGGGATTACAGGCTTGAGCCACTGCGCCCGGCCGAGCGCTGTGTTCTTTCCCAGTCACAGACCTGCCTGCGCCTGGCAGATGTATACCAAGGGCCCCAGTGCAGGCACTGAGCCTGGTACTGGGCTCAGCGGGGATGAGGACACGTGCGTTCTGTGGGGACAGGATGGTGACACGGCACGCGCAGCGCTCCGTTGGGGCCAGGGAGGGCACCTGGGGCCCTAGACAGACAGGGAGGGGCAGGGTAGGAACATGGTCCCCACCTGAAAGACAGGCAGCAGGCACCATAGGACCCAGGGGACCACATGGGGACTCCGCCTCTGGGATGAGGCACCAGGGTGACTGCCATGCTGGGAAGGCTTCCCCAGGAACCTCGGTGGCCTCTCCCATGTTCCTGTCTGAGCTTGGGAAACGGGTGGCTGGGGTCAGACTGCGGAAAGTGGGGGCCTGGGATGACGTACAGTGTCCGTGGCTTACTGACAGAGATTAAATACTTTCACGCTCTTCATTTTCTACCCCATTTGTATCATTTCTACTCCAGTTTCCCACAACTGCACTTTTTATTAAACAGTCTTTGAAGCTCAGTTAACTTTTACATAAAAAGGGAGGAAGAAGGGAAAGAGTCAGTCTTCCCAGGCAAGTATAAGGGGAGATCAGCAGGCATGTCTGAGGCTCTTGAGGGAGGGAGAAGAGAAACAAGATGAAGAGAATGAAGCCAGGCTCAAAGCCAGGCTTCCGGAACATTCTGCAACACTGGGAGCTTCCACATCTCCACTGCCCAACAGCACATCTGCTGACCACACATGGTGTGGAGCACTTGAACTGTGGCTTGTGGGACTGAAGGATCTCATAATTATTATTCTTTTTTTTGAGACAGCGTCTTGCTCTGCCACCCAGGCTGGAGTGCAGTGGCATGATCTTGGCTCACTGCAGCCTTGACCTCGTGGGCTTCAGCAATCCTCCCACCTCAGCCTTCTGAGTAGCTGGGATTACAAGCATGCACCACGACACCTGGCTACTTTTTGTATTTTTAGTAGAGGCAGGGTCTCAGTCTGTTATCCAGGGCAGTTCGCTGGCTGCGAACTTCTGGGCTCAAGTGATCCTCCTGCCTCAGTCTCCCAAAGTGCTGAGATTACAGGTGTGAGCCACCGTGCCCAGCCCATTTGGTTTTTTTTTGAGATGGAGTCTTGCTCTGTCACCCACGCTAGAGTGCAGTGGTGCAATCTCGGCTCACTGTAACCTCCACTTCCCATGTTCAAGCGATTCTTGTGCCTCATCCTCCCAAGTAACTGGGATTATAGACGTCTGCCACCATGCCCAGCCTTTTGTATTTTTAGTAGAGACGGGGTTTTACTATGTTGCCCAGGCTGGTCTCGAACTCCTGGCCTCCAGTGGTCCGCCCACCTCAGCCTCCCAAAGTGCTGGGATTACAGGTGTGAGCCAACACACCTGGCCAACTGAATGAATTTTTAATTGCATTTAATTTTAATTAAACTGTGGCCAGTGGTTCCTGTGTTGGCTGGCACAGCTGGCAGCTCCTGACAGGGGTTCTGGGACTTCAGTGAAAACACAAGACGCAGACCTTGGAGCCAGCATTCTAATGAAGGCAGACAATCACTAACAAACAGGCCAATTATTTACTATGGTTAGAAGGCGACAAACGCAGCCATCCCTTGGTATCCGTGGGGGACTAGTTCCAGGACGCCGCTCTGATACCAAAATCCACAGGTGTTCAAGTCCTGGACGTGAAGTGGTGTCAAGTCTGCACAGAAGCTGCGCACGCCACCCCTCCATGCGCTCTATGCCATCCCCAGATTACTTGCAACACTTAACATGCTGTAAACGCTGTATCAATAGTTGTTCTACTGTATTTCTAAGCTCTGCATTATTGTTATTGTTTTTTTTTTTATTATTATTGTTTTGGTTCCCAAACATTTTCAATCTGTGTTGACTGGACCCACGGATTCGGGGGAGCTGGCTGTGCACTATTAAACCGGGTGCACCTAAAGCAGGTGATGTCTGAGCACGGACAGGATATGATGAACTTGACCCTAATAAAATGGAAAGTTTACGTGAAACTGATAAGTTCCTAGAACAGTAATTTACCAGTATTGAGACCAGCAGAGGAAACCCAGAAAGTTCCAGAATGGTCAGAAAGTCCATTCCAAGACAGCGCCAGGCCCCGGAGGGCTGCAGGTGGTTTCACCAGATGCTCAGGGCACAAACAATTCAGTCTCAAACTCTTCTTGGAGAACTCATGCTAAGAGCCTGACATAACCAGACCCTGACAAGGGCAGACGGCCAGAACTCAACATTAACCTCACCAGGAAACACAGAGGTAAAAATCCAAAGAAAAAGGTTAGTCACCCTTATTTAGCAATATACAAAAAGATAATCATTCTTGACAAACTCAGAGTCCTAGAAAACAAAGTGAGCTTAATGTGTATGGAAAAAAGATACAATTTATGACAAAAGATACAAGGAGAAAAATCACATGATCTTCCCAGCAGGTGCATAAAAATCATTTGACAAAATCAATATCCATTCATGATTTTAAAAAAACAAAACTCAGCTGGGCACAGTGGCTCAGGCCTGTAATCCCAGCACTTTGGGAGGCCAAGGCTGGCAGATCATGAGGTCAGGAGATGGAGACCATTCTGGCTAACATGGTGAAAGTCTGTCTCTACTAAAAAATACAAAAAATTAGCCGGGTGTGGTGGCACGTGCCTGTAGTCCCAGCTACTCGGGAGGCTGAGGCAGGAGAATCGCCGCTTTGACGGGAGGCAAGAGGTTGCAGCTGAGCGAGATCATGCCACTGCACCCTCCAGCCATGTGAAGCGTCAAGAGCGAGACCTCCATCCTCCAAAAAACCAACAACGAAAAAACCAAAACAAAAAAACAAAAACTCCTTAGCAAACTAAGAAGAGAAAGGAAATATCTTAACCAAATAAATTTTCGTGTGAAGACACACCTCAGCTGAGCTTGTGCAGTGGGCTCCCAACGCTGGGAATCCTAAAAAGCACTTTGGGTGGCCAAGGCAGTGGAAAATCAACATGAAGATCAGGAGTTCGAGAAAAGCCCCGGCAGAAAACGGTGGTGAAACCCCGTCCTCTACCAAAAATACAAAAAATTAGCCTGGGCGTCGGTAAGCAGGCATCTGTGGTCCAAGCCTAACTCCAGGAGCTGAGGCAGGAGAAACCTTGCACCCTGAGGCGGAGGCTGTAGTAGCTGAGATGCACTGCAGCTGCATTCCAGCTGGGTGACAGAGCTGAAGACTTCATCTCAAAAAAAAAAAAAAAAGCACCCAAGACGCGGCGGCCCGCGTGGCAGTTGCTCATGCCCTGTAATCCCCAGAAACTTTGGGGAGGCCCTGAGGCCGACAGATCACCCTGAGGTTGGGAGTTCGAGACCCAACCTGCAACCCAACAAATAAGAACGAGAACCCCGTCTCTACTAACAAAGACAAAACTCAGCCCCGGCAAACATGGTGGGCCCGCTGTCAGAGAAGGCGGTCGCGCGGGGAAAGGCTGAAGGACCAGGCGTCCGCTTTTGAACCCTTGGGGCGAGCCAGGGCTTGTGGTGAGGCTGAGATCCGCCTGCACTCCAAGCCCTGGGGAACCAGGCCTGGGGAACTCCATCTCAAAAAAAAAGACACTAACACACACATCCTCTCAAAGTCTTATACAAGCATGTTCAAAGCAGCCCTTTTCCTAACAGCCCCAAACTGGAAACAAGCACCTAGTCCCTCAGGAGGCGGCTGATAAACACAGCGTAACCCCTCCCCACGCAGACGCGGCTCCGCAGTGAGAGTGAACGCAGGCGCCCACGAAGCCACGGGGGAGGGGGGCAGACGCAGGAGCATGTTCCCACGCGCCACGCAATTCCAGAACAACAGCGAGTCTGGTGGGAGGAGGCAGGCGGGATGCACAGTCCAGGCCGGACAGGGACTGGCCAGAGGGGCCTGAGGGAGGCCTGTGGGGACCGAGCTCTGGGCCAGCACTGCCGGCGAGTCCGCGAGTCTGTGAGACTGGACAGGGGTGAAAAGTCCCCAAACTGCACAATGAAACTGGTGAATTTTAGTGTGTATCTTACAATTAAAAATACAGACCACGAACATCGTTCCTGGTGCTGAAATTAGAAAAAAAAGCCAAACTCTCAGCTTGTATTAAACCATCCTACTCCAAAAATAACCAAGGCTGGGTGGGTGAGGACACTGGAAAAGGCGACCATGAACCTTTGGAGGTTGCTAAGGAGGCTATCGTCATGATTGTGGATGAGGAAAAGATTTATGAGACAGAAAACAAAACTGACCATGAAGGAAATGACAAGTCAA